GCTGTTGTTGTTGGTGGTGGTGGTGCTGTTGTGTATCTGGCTTGGCTTCATGAGTGAGTGTGGGCCAGGCTGGAAGGGCGGGTGTGCAGGGTCAGCGGCAGCCAGCCAGCCCAGCTGCTCCCCTGTCAGCCTGGGGTTGCGGCTGGCAGGCTGCCGAGCGGCCACCCGCCTGCCCCCGCCCTCCCCTCCCCGCCCTGCCCCTGCCAGCTGGAGGGGTGGGCTGCCACCCTGGAGGCGCGTCGGCGGCGTGGCGAGGCCCGGGTGGACAAGCGCGGGCAGTACACCGACCGCGAGTCGCGCATGCTGCTGTACCACATCAACGCCACCACGCGCCCAGTGGAGATGGACGAGGCGGAGCAGAAGGTGTGGAGGGGGTGGGGGTGGCAGGTGTGGTGTGTGGGGTGGTGTGGGGTGGGTCTCATGATGCTGGCACCAGCATAGCCTGGTGGCATGAACCATCTCGACAGCCTGTGTGGTATCCCCTGGCCAGCACACCCAACCCTGCCAGCCCCAGCCACGCACAATCCCACCCACCCCTGCCACCCCCCACAACCCGCCACCCCAGCCAGCCCCCACCCCCACACTAAGACCCCTCCCTGCAGCTGCTGGACGACAAGGAGCGCCAGTTCCTGAAGACAGCGCTGCTCAACTACTCGCGCTGCCTGTGCACCGGCGATGGATACGACCTCAGGGTGGTCTTCCGCATCGTGCAGCTGTGGCTGATGTGGGGGGCAGGGGGGCAGGCGGGGGCGGGGCCGGCAGGGGTGCTCGGAGGATTGGAGGGAAGGGGCGCGGAGGGAACCATCCCCCACACACTCGGGGAGCGCCTGCGGTCGCTTGGAGTGTGCAAGCCTGCCGGCCTTGGCAGCCCGGGCCTGCGGCGAAGGCAGGGCCGCCGCAAGCCGCGCCCTCCCAGCCGTTCCCTGCCTGTCCCCGGCGCAGGCTGGGGTCTGACGGCGAGGTGAATGCGCTGGTGGGGGCCGCCTTCCGCCAGGTGCCCTCCTTCAAGTTCCTGCCACTCGTCTACCAGGTGGCCTCCCGCCTGTCGGCAGGCACGTGGACAGCTGGCAATGCAGGCAGGGAGGCGGGGGGGAGGCCAGCAGGGGGGAGACTAGCAGGGAGGCAGGAGGGGGGGCAGCGGGGGGACAGGGAGGCGCGGCTGTGGGGCCCAGGGTGGCGAGCGCCAGCGCCCGACATGCATGCCGCTGCGCGTGCTGCCCCCTCCCCCTCCCCTCCTGCCTGCTGCAGCCAAGTCGGGGCCGCTGGTGGATTCTGGGTTCCAGGCCAACCTGGCGGCGCTGCTGGTGCGGCTGGGGTGCGAGCACCCGCACCACACGCTGTACCAGGTGCGGCGCAAGCCTGGCAGCCAGCCTGGCAGCCAGCTTGGCTCGCCGGATGTGGCTTCCTGGGCAGCTGAGGCACTGTGGCATGGCATCCTCCCATGCCCTGCTGTGCAATGCACAGCGCATGCAGCGGGGGGGCGGTGGTGCTGCGGCTCTCTGCTGAGCTGGGTGGCGGCCTCTGCCACCTGGGCGCCCCCTCCCTGCAGATCTTCTCCCTCAAGAACGGCAACCGCGGGCGGGATGGCAAGGTGGCGGGCGGGCGGGCCATCGAGGCCTTCTCCTACGCGGGTGGGTGGTGGTGGGTGGTGTGGTGGTGGGGGGCTGAACCTGGCTGGCTCACCGCATGCGGCAGCAGACCAGTCTCGGCCCCCTCCTTCCGCATGGGCGGCCTCCCTCTTCAGGCACCCATCCCCCTCATGCAGTCTCTTTCACTCTCTGTCTCTCTCACACACGCACACACACATTCTCTCTCTCTCTCTCTCTCACACACACACACACACACACACACACACCACCACCACCACCCCACC